AGGATTAGGACTAGGTTTGGGGTTAGGTCGCGAAGGGCCTTTATCATTGGCGTCGTGGGAGGTGGGGCAACTGGTACATAGGCAGTACCTAAAGGTACAGGGTGCGTGTCTCGTAACAAGGTCACTCGCGACCGTCTTCAACGCGGCGAAACCACTGAGAAAGGGTAGTGTTGTTGACTTGGGCTGAGGTATGTACAGGCTGACAGGCTGACTTGAATAGTGGCGCGCGCCCACTTATGGGTGGGCACATGCGACAAGTACACCAAAGCGTCGTAGGCGTTGAGGCACGGTGTTGTTTTGCAACTGTCTGCCCTCTTGATCTTGACGATATTTCAGATGTGCGAGAAAACCATGGGATTGTCGTCCGCGAGAGAAGAAGGAATTGAGATCCATGAGCCTACTGGACTCTATCGAGTGTACCTCTTTGGTAATGGCTTATCACCACCTTCCACGACAAGCAACCATGTTCCAGGCTGATCATTGACGAGGTACATCTGGGTATCTTCCTGTATCTTTCTCTCTCTCGCGAGCACGTGCAGCTGTCGCAACATCTTACAAGTTGAAGTTCGGAATGCAGGCGGCGCCCCAAACTGCCTTATCCGCCGAGCCGTGTACGGTACTTGCCATGGAATAAGCCTCTTGACTGTAAGCCTCTGACTCCATAGAGTAGGCCTCTGACTCCATGGAGTAGGCCTCTGACTCCATAGAGTAGGCCTCTGACTCCATGGTTGGACTTGAGGCTGACTCCAAACTGCCGGCATATAGTCTCATGCAGCACATCACGGATAACGAAGGCTATGTGCCGATCGTGGATGCTGCTTCGCTGCAACGGTACCAGTGAACTTTCCAATCGGCATCTGGACAACAGCTGTGCCTCTCACATGACCCGACAGCGGTCATTGTAAGCTTCCCCATAGCGGTCCACGCCTGCGGCTTTTTCGTTGTCTCTCTGCTTTGCCCTGACCTCTTCTGGGAAGTATTTGACGAGGAAGTCAGCCAAGACCGGATCCAGGTTTTCTAATGTCAATATCTCTCAGCGAACGTCTCAGCTATCTCACAGGTAATAGCGTCGGAGCACTTACGACTGTCTGCTTCCATGACCACTGCGCCTCGGCACAACGGACAATGATCTTTTTTTGCGCGCTGCAGGACGACAAGACACCGGATGCAGAAGATGTGCTGGCAGCGTAGTCGGATGGGGCGAAACGAGATGCTGAAGCAGACAGGGCAGAGGTAGTCGTGGAGCTGTGGAACTACGGGAAGCAGCTCGGTAGAGACTTCATAGCATATCGCTTTGGCTATGTCGTGCGTGGGACCAAGTACTTGGGCGACGGCTGGGAAGGTCGTCTGAACACCGAACCCACTTCGCTTGTCAAATTCTAAATGGCGCCAGTCAGCTTAAGAGCAGAAACAGAAGAACATCGAAAAGTATGAGCAGAGTATCTGGCCAGTGGCGTCTTTTCCTTGAGATAGAATCGTTGCTGGTGCTCGGGAATCGACATACTCTTGAGAATCTTCTGCATAGCGAGGGAATTGATGTCCTGAAATCTCATGCTACTAAGGAGGTCCATGTTTAGTTGCAGGAACTGCTCAAGCGCAAGTCTGCTTTCCTTCTTCCGGAACTTGGTCGACGCAGTCATTCGAGAAACATCCTCAGCAAACTTCTGTAGCAGCGCCTGAGCTTCTGCGGAATCATGACGACCACGGTCAAGCTCGTTGGTCGAAAAGAATATCTTGGATTCCAGATACATCTCGAAAATACTCCGCCAGGCGGCCATGTCTGACTTGGACGACGTCCTGTTGGGCTCGGTCACTCTAGCCACGGCCTTCCCCAGGTCTTTGATCTCAGCGCTCAGTTTGGCTTGCTCTTGGGCCTGTAGAGCGCCGAGGGCAGATATCTGGCCCTGGAGCATCCCAAAGAATTCGGAGTCTGACCTCAGCGGCACCTCGACCATGCGGTATGTGCGGAAGGCTCCCGGCTCTCCAGCATTCGCCGATGCCGTGTCATGAGAAGCATGCCTCTCTGTATTGCTCGCAGAATCATGCCGATCGATCAGTTCTCCTTCATCCGACCCAGTAATGGCAAGCCTGGTCAGATGTTGTCCGAGCGCCAGCTGATGGAGAAAGTCTCTGGTTTTGGGAGAAAGAGTCGCGTCTAAAGGCTCTCCGGACTCTTCATCCACGGCGATCATGAGTTTCGGTTGAAACGGGACTCCTATCTCTTTGCCATCGCTCTCATAGTTCTCCGCAAGCGTGTATTCAACGAGCTTTTCTCGGCCGTCGACCCCAGACTGGCTTTCCTCTGCACTTCGGAGCAGATGGCTCAAGGTCTCGGCGTTCAGGCCTAGTTCCGCGAGCTCTTTCTCTACGCGCTTGATGCATTTCTTGAGTTGGCGATACGAGATGGCGGACGCCACCCAGTGCGAGGGAAAGCCGCCATGTTCAAGGTGTTCCTGGAAGGTGTGCCCGAATTTCATGTTGACATCCGGCCACAGGGATGCCTTTGTTGATCAGGCCATGGAGATGGAGGGCGGACAGTGAGCGGGAAAGGTGGTGAATCGCGGTGAAAGAAGGGATTCAGACGATGGAGTCTCTGCAGTAACGTTACGGGACTTTCGTTTGGCATAATCAGTCACATGCGAAGGGAGCTTTTTCCGACTCTCCCGCTTCTGGATTGCGGCTGGTGTTTGGTGGCGCGGGCGAAACTCGCGGATAACAACGCCCGAGTCATCCTTCGCCGCGCTACGGATAACTTGGCACTTTTGACAAGCAATGACACAACCAGACTTTCTCTTTGTGCAAAAGAAAAACCCTCGGGCACTCGACAAGGACAGCTGCCCGCACTCATGGGCGCCGGTCAATCATCCGCCTCTGGTGGCGCATCGGCGCAGCAGCCCGCGGCCGCAGAGGCCAAGACAAGCTACTACGAGCTGCTGGGAGTAGGCAGACAGGCTACAGACGATGAGTAGGACTCCTCACTGGACCATGTATGCATCGCATCATCTAATCGAATCGACTTCCCAGGATCAAGAAGGCCTACCGCCGCAAAGCACTAGAGCTCCATCCCGACCGCAACTATGGTGATGTCGAAAGAGCGACCTCGCTGTTCGCCGAAATCCAATCCGCCTACGAAGTACTGTCGGACCCCCAGGAGCGAGCATGGTACGACTCCCACGAATCCGCCATCCTGAGCGGCGCCGATCCCTCGGACGAGCATTTCGAGCACAACATCAAGGTCACGACTGCAGACGACATCACGCGCATGATGAGGAAGTTCAACGGCCGCGTGGACTTTTCCGATTCTCCCACTGGATTCTTCGGCTTCTTGCGCGACACTTTTGATACTCTGGCTCGCGAGGAAGATGCTGCAGCTAGCTGGGAAGGGCTGGACTCGATATACTACCCTTCGTTCGGGCACAAAGACGATAGTTACGATGATGTGGTCAAGGCATTCTATGCGGTCTGGGGCGGGTTCAGCACGAAAAAGACGTTTGGATGGAAAGACATTTATCGTTTATCTGAAGCGCCAGATCGACGCACGAGGCGATGGATGGAGAAGGAGAACAGTCGACTGAGGGAAGAGGGAGTTCGCGAGTTCAACAGCGCAGTTGCCACACTGGTAGCTTTCGTGCGCAAGCGTGATCCGAGATACACTCCAAATACCATGTCGGAGGCGGATCGACAGAAACAGATGCGTGAGGCGGCCGCCGCGCAGGCTGCGAGGGCCCGGGCAGCAAACGAGGCCAAGATGCAGGAGGAAGTGCCAGAGTGGACGAAGATCAGAGACCCGGAGGAGATTGAAGAGAGCGAAGAGGAAGAGATTGAGGAGGAAGTCTTCGAATGTGTGGCTTGTCATAAGACGTTCAAGAGCGAGAAGCAATGGGATGCGCATGAGAAGAGCAAGAAACATCAGAAAGCAGTAAAAGAGCTGCAGAAGAAAATGCGCAAGGAAAACAAAAACTTACACCTCGACGAGGACCTCCCTACACCTGAATCCGAGGAAGATGAATTAGAGGAGCACTTTCCGGAGGCTAAGCCGGTAGAAGTTACAACCGACGAGATTGCTGGCGATGTCGAAGACCTCCACTTGGCAGAGGATGACGATGCAGACGATGGATCAGAATCTCAAACTGCACACCACGTCAAAGATAATCAATCAGAGCCAGATATGTCGAAGCCCTCCACATCGCCAACAGAATTAGAATCCGACTCTGAGGACTCCGACTACGTTCCCCGGGAAAAGCTGGAGTCTCGCATTGCCGGCGCGCCATCCAGCGGCACGCAAGCCTCCAGCAAGCAAACCTCCGACACCGAAGACACTCCTCCCACTACAGCCGCAACCCCGAAAATGGGCAAAGCAGCGCAGAAAAGAGCAAAACGCGCAGCACAGCAAGCGGAAGCGGAGCTTTCCGAATCGAAGTTCCAGTGTGCCGTCTGCAATACACCCTTCCCATCGAAGACGCAGCTGTTCGCCCATATCAAGAAAGAAGATCATGCTGCGCCTGTCCCACAGAAGAGTGGTGGCGCTAAGAAGAAGAAGGGCAAGAAATAGAAAAGTGATTTTTCTCTGACGATGGGATAGATGATAGGACCTGTCTTGTTTTGCATAGCGTTGGCGTTCTTAATAATTGTGCATAGGAAATATACCCCGGTCGTGTTTCAGAATCATAGACTGAAGGAAGAGCGGCAGTTCGGCGGGATACATCGTTCCGATGAACCCCGGCTGGAGTGTGCATTTGCATCGCACTAGGTCTTCGAGAATGTTCTAGCCACAGGTTCAATGTGATTTGTTCGCAATTCAAAGAGTCGACCTGCTTCGTAGACTTAATTCGACAGCCTAGGAGGTCGACGTATGAGTTGCTTCAATGGAGCTAAAAAGTGGGTCTGGCTTGCTTCGAATGTAGTTCGGCCGTACTGAACCTGCTCCTCCAGCAGAGTAATAAGCAAAAGCGAAACCTCGATGTTCCGGAGATTCTTTCAAAGAAAATGCAAAAAGAAGATGCTCTCAATGAGAATCGAACTCATGACCTTGGGATATCTACCTCTTTGAGATAGTCATATTGCTATGAGACCCACGTGATAACCGACTACACCATAAGAGCTGTCAAGTTGTGGTAACTTGATGAAAGAAAACTAGCCTGCAACGTCTATATTCATTTTTGATTTTTCAGACTCATTTGACGACTCAAACACTGATGCGATAACTGACAGCATCCCAGACATCGAATAGTCGTCATTCCTGCTCTCTTACATGATCGCCTCTGCTTTCCTAGGTTACAGCAGCGCAGGTCAGCAACACAGTACCTCACCTCGCAAACTCATTGAAGGACCTTTCCTGATGCACAGATTGTCAAATACACTGTCTTCGCGAGTCCAGTGCCGGTCTCTCCACTAAAGTTCGCTCGAACTCGTAACCTCCACTCATACTGCACCAAGGAAATCTACTATTGATCTTCTAGGCTGGCCTCGGGGTATCAGCTATTAGAAACTATACACAGGTCTAAGCCAGGAGTCATCAATGGTATCGGTTTCACAGCGGTGAATGGAACTGAATGTGACTATATCCAGCAGGACCTGTACTGGCTGAACTGAGCATAAATCGCTACGCGATCTATCCGTTACAGTCGCTGCCTCGGGTATCTACCCTAGCCAAAGCACGTGGTTCCAGAACAAACCCTTGTTGGTCGCCAGGTCATCCTCGGCTAGATGAAATGTCTCATTGAAGACAATCTGCTCGCCGGGTCCAGAGTGATTGCCGTGCTTGGGCCAGTAGAGCTTGTCGTCCGACCACATGGTGTTGGGGTTGCCTGTGAGGACGAAGAACATAAGTTACTTCTGCATCATGACAGCTACCGTAGACGAAAGGTTTCGATATCTTCGCAACGTTTAGCTTTCCTCGGGAGCAGGTATTTCCCTTCGTCATCAACACTGCCGACGGCTAGAATTCTCAATTTTTAGTATAGCTTGCACTTTCCCTGATCCTCGCTCAATCTGCATAGTTTAGAAGTTCAATAACGGAATCGAAATCTGATGAGCAAGAGGAGGAATAAGTTGGAAGCAACATTGGATGTTGAAGCCCGGTGTTAACCATCACAGTTCTCCTGCAGCTGTAAAGCGAACGGGCGGGGGAGGCCGCCCAGACAGCGACAAGATACGACAATTACCTTGGGAGACAAATCCACAGCCCCGGTATTCCTAGTAAGAGAGAAGGGGGAGACTGCTTACTCAGCCTCGATACCTTCAGTACTGATATCCGCCGTCGTCGTAGCCTACGTTACCAGCTCCGGTATCCCTCACGTCGTCCAAGCTCCTGTAGCTGCCTTGGCCCCTTCCTCTTCCTTTACCGCCGCCGCGACCGCCGCGACCACCCCTTCCGCCATCCCTTCCTCGAGCACCTGAGTGATGTCCACGGCCTCTGCTGTGGTTGCCGCCGCGGTAGTTGTGGTTGTTGCCACTATTGTTGTGGTTCTGCGCCCGCCTGTTCTCGTCGTTGTATGGGGGTCCACGCCGATCGTCTCGGTCACGATACGATTGCTGCTGGCTGTGATTCTGATTGTACGTGTTCTGCCTGTGTTGCCCACCACCGTCACCTCCCCTAGGGCCTAGGGGTGGGAAGTTTGTCTCGTCATTCATTACCACATCGTCGTCCATTACGCGAGGTCTCTTGTTGTTACTGGGGTAGAAGGGCTTGCGCTCTTCCTCCAGAGTCAAAAGCGCCTTTTCGCCGACTTCGCTTTCAAACTCAATCGCCTGGTCGTCTGGTACTGGCTGCCAATTCGAAATCCGATTGGCATCAGCCGGTCGCGCGCCTCTCCTCAGCGCAAGTACAAGTGTCGGCGTGTGGTTTTCTGTGTAGATACGGGAGTTTGAGGGAACAGGGCTGCAAGCGGCGGCCCAGATGCGGTTCTCGAAACAAGAAATGCCAGAAATGCGCCATCGTTGCTTCGCTCCTATGCCACCGACGCGTGCCATGATGTGCGTAGGACAAGGACGCGGCGTTATGAGGATGCTGTTGGCGAGGGTTCGGATTTCGCCTTCGGGGACTTGAGGAAGGTTTGAGAGAAGTGACTTGGTGAGGAGCTCACTTGTGGGTGGCGAGAGGAGGTAGCCAGTGAAAAAGATGGTACGGTTGATCTTGTACGGCCGGGCATGGGGAGCTTGGCCACTTTGTACGGTAACATTATGGTCGTTAATCATTCGTTGCACCTCCGCGACCTCCGTAAGTGGATCCAGAGTTGTGGCATTCTCTGCAACTTGGATGACTTCAGCGGTAATGGGTTTACGATTGATGGGAGGATCCGGTGAAAGGAGTGCCTTGTTGAAAGCCGTGAAGAATTCCCGGAAGCCTTTCGTATGTTTGGGCCTGTCTTCGTAGACGCGGATCTCGGTAGCGTCGCGGTATGTGTAGACGAGATCTTTGAGCAACTCTTGCTTGAAAGCCATGGTGTTGGCGAATCGCTGGTTCAGTGGACCCGCGGCAGGCTTCAAACAAGTCATGTCGAAAGTGAGCTGCTTGCTGCGCAGAATGCGCTTGACCAGTTCGGCAAAAGCGCCCTCTGAGCGGCCTGTGAGCAAGACAGTAAAAGCGTCTTTTTGCTGCATGCTGAGCTCGACAAGCTGCACAATCTGCTCGTTCCACCAACCCTCGTATCCTCTAGCCTCTTCTTTCGCGATGCCCTCCCCTGTGCAAGCCAGGATGCGTGCATCGTGCCACCAACCGCCGTTCGTGAAGATGTCTGGGCCTTGTAGCTGTCCGATTGTGGGGCCGTTCCATACTTGCTTGTTAGGAAGGGGACTCGCGAAGACTGAAAAATGTCAGCTGGCATGGTAAATTGCTTTGTAGTGGGCAAGAAGTACCCACGCGTGTTGTCAAAGTCATAGACGTGGATTGCCTTGATCTGCTGGACGCCTGTACTCTGTCAGGCCAAATCACGGTCGTTACTTTCCGCAGGATTCCTTACTCGGCAATTCCTTGTCGTCGCAGGACCATCTCTTCAATGCCGTAATGGTGTAGCTGCTTGTCTTGCCATTCAATGCGCCGTTCTGTGCGCCATTGGCGACAGCATACGCAGACATCTTCTCCGATTTGTAAGCTCTCCACTTCAGTCGTCTGAGAACTATGCGCATCAAATGAGGTCAGGTTTCAAGAGAGTGAAGGACCGGGAAGGGAGGTGCTTAGGCGGGCATGATGGAGGTTGTCGAGTATTGCGCCAGGAATCGCCGACGACATCACAAAGATCACCTCCGCGCCGAGGCCGCCGCTTTCTCCGTCTTCCGTCCTCCGCAACCCCCACACTGTACATGGACACACCTCTGGGGGAAGCTGACGATATCGAGCAACAGCCTGACACTGTTACCGAAGAAACTGTCTCACACGATGGCACAAGCGACACCTGCGTCGTCTGTCTGGATCATGTTTCGGAGCGTGCCATCGCGGTGCCCTGCAATCACCACACTTTCGACTTCCTTTGCCTCGTGAGCTGGCTGCAAGAATGCTCCAAATGCCCTCTCTGTACGTCCATTTTCAACCTGTATTGAGTACTTCCTACTAACCGTGTTCAAGGTAAAAGCGAAGTCTCCGCTGTTCAATACGATTTCCGCTCTCCGTCGTGCTTCAAGACTTACAAGGTCCGCACCACCGCCTTATCTTCTGAGCCCGCCCAATCGACAACCTCGCTGCCTCATAGATATGCGCCTCTACCTCGCCGGTACAGACCGGCTCGCCCTGTTCGTCGTCGAAGCCCGCCGCCGGGTCCCGATCTCGCTCTACAGCGCCGCCGCCACGTCTACAGCCAAGACCTGTACTCCCTTCATGTTGGCAGCAACCGCATATCGCAGCACAGCAACATAACGCCTACAATCTTCGCCCGCACACCGGTATTGCAGTCGCGCGCGCGTACTTTCATTCGCCGCGAACTCCGCGTTTTCAGCTTCCTGTATCCAGAAGCAGCTGTCGCGGAAGCAAGCTCCGCTTCATCGGCCACTGCCGAGACAGACAGAAGTACCCAGAGGGCCAACAATGCTGAATTCCTCCTCGAGTACATCATTGCAATTCTCAAGACCGTGGACATCAAAGGAGCAAGTGGGCAGGCAGAGGAGATGCTGCAAGAGTTCCTTGGGCGGCAAGCTGCCCGGTTGTTTCTTCACGAGCTAGGTGCGTGGTTACGTAGCCCGTACACCAATCTTGGCGATTGGGACAGTCATGTGCAATACCGCGAACCGCTGCCTGAGTCTGCGTCGAGGAGTCCGATGCCCACTGCTTCAGGAAGCGGAGAGAAGAGATCGAACGAGCGTTATACACCGTATCAGAGACCGCCGCGCAACGAACAGTTCAGGAGAACACGATACGAGCCAGATTGAGTGGGGCCATGTTTCTTTGGTCCAGGTATCCCTACCTGCGCAAGACCGAACGAGGTAGCTGGGCAGAGTACGGTCTCCTGCTACAAATCCTAGTATATGAAGACCCAACAGGCATTTCAGCCTTGTCAGCGCAGGGAGAACATCGGCCCCGCAGGAATCACGCTGTTGAAGTTTGTGGTTGCAGGGACTTCGTCGTCCACCAGTATGGCTCCAAAGATCTACATGAAGAGGTATGGGCGGAGAGGAGGAGCCCATATCCAAGACGTGGCCGATTGATGGGACAACGATCGTACCGTTCCACCTGAAGCGACTATAGCACTCGAGTTGTCAACCCTTTCATTGGTTTCTGGACCCAGGGCATGGAGGTTGCGGTCAATCGATCGGGTTCTTGTATGTGTAATCTCTCGTGACTGGACTGGACTCCCTGTAGCCGTAGAAATCGAACGCGGTGTTCTCACCCAAAGTGACGTTGACAGACCATAGCGCATTTCATACAGCATGACAAGGAGGAAATAGGACCGACCTAGACCAACGTTGGTGTTACCTATTCGAGCCTCTGAGGAACCGGGATCAATACTTATGCGGTGTGATACAAGGCAGGCGTGCATCAACCTCAGGTCGTGCACGAACTCCACGCTCACAACATCATCACTCTTCGTGCGAGATGTTCAAATGACAGGATCTTGATGGATTGATAATAGTTTCCGCATATGCGACCGCATATGCAGCAGCACCACAATAT